CAGGTATTGCAACGTATCTACCGAGGGCAGTCTTGCGCAGTACAGGGCGATAGGACCAGCAAATCTTTCGACATACGGCGTGGTGTAAGACAAGGGGACCCGATTTCACCAGTTTTGTTTAATGCAGCACTCGAGAAGCTCATGCGCGGGTTACAGGACAAGTGGCAGCGGCGGCGGTGGGGTGTTCAGACATACAAATCGCGAAGACTGACAAACTTACGTTTTGCAGATGACCTGATGCTGGTGGCCGGCTCGTTTTACCAGGCAAAACACATGCTGGACGATTTGATTTGTAAAGCGAGGGAATTTGGATTGGAAGTGCACGAGGAGAAGACAAAGATTCTGTGGAACGGTTTCGGCAGGGGCACATCGGCATCCACGGTAACTGTACAATCACGCAGCTTCGAAGTACTACCGGACAGCGCTGCCACGATGTATTTGGGCAAGCTTCTCAATCTTACCGAGACCCAGGACATTGAGCTGAAGAACAGAGTGGCGAAAGCATGGGCGAAATTTGCCATTTACCGGGATGAGTTGACGAGTCGGTGTTATCCTTTATCACAACGTTTGCGACTGTTTGTTTCTTGTGTCCAGCCTACCTTTTTATATGGTTGCTCGTCTTGGACATTGACTTCAAAGCGCGAGTCCGTGATCAACAGGTTGCAGCGGCAAATGTTGAGATCAGTCGTTGGTGTGAAAAGGAAAGTTGTTATTGGTATTGATGGCGAGAAGAATTTAAAAGATTGGGTCAGCTGGATTATGCGCTCGACGCGCACAGCGGTCAAGGTTAGCCGGGAGCACGGTGTTCGCAATTGGGTTGAAGAAATTTCGAAACGAAAGTTTCAGTGGGCAGGACATGTTGCAAGACGGACCGACGGCCGTTGGACGAAGGTTATGCTGGATTGGTCTTTGACAGGTTGCAGAGCGCAGGCGAGGCCCTTAACGCGCTGGTGCGATAGTTTGAGCAAGTTCTTCACAGGCACAGCAGGGAGGCCGGTTGGCGGTTCCTCTTGGATCGCAGCCGCACAAGACCGGGACTATTGGAAACAGATGGAGGATGATTACATTGAGTTCTGCAGGCGGTGAGCACGGCATCCACGGCTGCCAACAGTCGAGCCCTGTTTGGGGGCACGTGGCAGTGCGCGTCGCGCACGGCCCGTACTCGACTTCCGTTCCGTTCCGTTCCGTTAGAGATCCGATACAGACTGTATAGGATCCTACAGAGATCCGATACAGACTGTATAGGATCCTTTAGAGATCCAATACAGACTGTATGGGATCCTATACAGATCCGATACAGACTGTACCTCGTCTTACTCATCAGCATCATCATCATCATCATCATCATCATCATCATCAGCATCATCATCATCATCAACCTCGTCTTACTCATCGTCCACCTCGTCTTACTCATCATCAGCATCATCGTCCACCTCGTCTTACTCATCATCATCATCATCATCATCATCATCATCATCATCATCATCATAATCATCATCATCATCATCATCATCATCGTCATCGTCATCATCCTCATCCACGTCGTCCTCATCATCACCATCCCCATCATCATCATCATCATCGTCGTCATCATCACCATCATCATCGTAGTCGTCGTCGTCGTCGTCATCATCATCATCATCGTCATCATCATCCTCATCCACGTCATCCTCATCAACACCATCATCATCGTCATCCCCATCATCATCATCATCATCAGCAGCATCCTCATCCGCATCCGCATCATCATCATCGTCGTCGTCATCATCACCATCAGTATCATTGTCATTGTCTTCGTCGGCGGCCTCGTCCTCCGCCCCGCCAATGTCCCTCTATCTCCCTGCCCCTCCCACCGGGCGGGCACGCCAGGTGGCGCGCGGTGGCGGGGCGACGAAACCGAGGACGACGACGACAACGACGACAACGACGACGGCGGCGACGACGACGACGACGACGACGGCGAGGACGACGACGACGACGACGACGACGACGACGGGGGTTATAGAATTCCTACGGATGCCTATAGAATTCCTAGGGAGGCCGATAAAATCCCTATGGAGGCCGATAAAAGTTCTATTGGGGCTTATATAGAACTCCTATGGAGACCTATAGAATTCCTATGGAGGCGCATCGAATTCCTATGGAGGCCTATAGAATTCCCATGAGGGCCTGAAGAATTCCTATGGAGGCCTATAGAATTCCGATGGGGGCCTATAGAATTCCTAGGGAGGTCTATAGAATTCCTATGGAAGCCTATAGACTTCCTAGGAAATCCTATTAGGGAATCCGTGGCGCCTCCAGGAGACCCCCAGAGAGGGTTGCTCGGTTGCTCGGTTGCTTGGGGGGGGGGGGGCGGCCGGGGCTCCCACGCACGCCTTTTCCAACAACAACAACAACAACAGCAACAACAGCAACAACAACAACGACGACGACGACGGCAATAACAACAACAGCAACAACAGCAACACCTACAACAACAACACAGTCGGGCTGAAGTAAGGAACGACAAATCAGGAACGAAGCCCATGTGTTCTTAGTCGAGCAGTTGAATCCAAAGAAACGGTTGCAAAATCCGACTGAACCCCCAACGGGCTCGCCACCAGAAGAGCAACGGAACGCATGCAAATCTAAGGAATCACCGAGCCCCTTCCGACCTGGAACTGGACCATATTTCAACGAACTGGCTCTAATCGGCGGCGAGCGGGGGGAGGGAAGTGAGAAGGAGAAGGCCTTCTCAGAAGGCTCGGAAGTCCCCTGGCCTTCTGAGAAGTGTTCTAAGCCTCCCTCGAAGACGCATGAAGCTTTTCAGAAGGCGCCAGGGCTTCTGAGAGAGGGGGCCTTCTCCTTCTCACCTTCCCTCCCCACTCGCTCGCCGACGAGAGAACTCCGCGCGCAGCTCCGCATGCTGATGCCTATGCCGTTGTCTTTTGATGCGCCCACTCGGCGCTTTCCTTCCTCGGCACGTGATGCGTTGACCCCCCCCCCTCCTCCGACGATCTAATTGTCTCGGTCTGGCCAATCTTCCTCCGGCTTGGACCCTCGGGCGTCGTCTCCGCGCCCCAGGACCATGAAAAACGGATCCGGAATTCAACGCCACCCCCTCGACACCCAAGAACGCGAGGCGGGGTCCGGCGGCCACATGCGAACACTACGGGGGGAGGTGGGGTTCACTGCTCCCAGGAGCTCCCGAGCGAAGTGAAACCCCACCCTCTCCCGCAGAAATCGTGGGGGGTGGGTGTACAGCAGGGGCCCGACCACAAGAAACCTTTCACAAGAAACCCAACCCTCAGACCCCAGGACGTCCATGGATTTTTGGCATGGGAACGTCACGCTCGCCATGGCAGAACCATCGAAACCAAAGAAACCCAGGGCACCCTGGAGGCAAGCAGGGTGTTTCTTGGCATGGGCCACCGCTCTAGAGTTCGCATGTGGCCGCCGAGGGGCACCAAGGAAGCCCTGGCACGCTTCGGGACCGCCCCGACAGGACAACTCGCTTAGCAATTATGTGCTCCTTCCACGTCTCCAGCGTCTGTCGTCGCATCATGTTACCCCTAACGGGATCGATAGCGACATCGATCGAAAGTACTACTAGGGTGAAATTAACATCGCAGTGCGTCCATTCGAGGTATACCTGAATGTCGCCTGCCCGTCGGCGTCCGCAGCAGAGGTTGAGTACAAAGTACGCAGCCCACTTGATGGCGATCGGAAGCATCTGCGCGGCAGTGCCTGTGCACTGGCAAGTCAGGAACATGCGGGTGGGATAACGTTCGATTTGTTGTGGTGGGTATGCGAAGGCCTGGGGGCTGTGGTGGGGCATCTTGGCGGCCGTAGGGTATCCTTGGCGGCTTTGGTGAGGTAGGGGTCGCATTCGAGGAGGGCCAGTTGGGCTGCTGCTTGCGTGACGGTGTTGGCTGTCGTGCTGGCTACTTCGGGGAGGGGGCCTTGGGCACGTGATGTGGGCACAACAACGTGACGTCGAGGTATGTGGACCTGCGGGGTGGTGCCAGGTGGTCGTGGTGTGGGGTCGATGGGCTGCGTGATGTGGTAGGCTGGGTTGCCGTTAGATAGTATGCCTACGAGCAAGCATCGTAGTGAATCGATCGATAGGTGATCGATGAGGTGGGGTCGGGCGTAGTAGGTATTGAGGCATGCCGTGCAGGTGCATGTCGGTGATGCGCATCCCCGCGCAAGGGTAGTAAGTTGGCGGTGGTTGCGCGCGATATGGACGCGTAGTGCGCGGTGACGCTGGTACTGTAGCCCGCATGAGGGGCAGGTGTGCGTAGTGGGTATGGGTGCTGGCGGTGGCGGGACGACCATGCCCTGTGCGTCGGTGTAGACCCTGGCAGGTACACCCGCAGCGGTCGTGTCAGCAAAGAACTGTCGTTCCATGTGTTGGGCAACTGTGAGTCGTGTCAAATGCTGTGTATGTGCGTAGCCCCCTATCTGAATAGCCCGGCTCCATGCTGGTCGACTGCGTTGTATGAACGCTTCCCATGCACCGAAATTGGCGGCGGGATCGGGAAGATCTGAACACTATCTTGCAAATTCCTGCAGCCACTGTAGATCCGTAATCCAGAACCCCATTGCGGTTCGCTGTTGGCGTACCGTGTCGTGTTCGAGGGTTTCCCACTCAGCTGCAATCACTGCGAAGGCCAGCCGAGGGCCTGTGTGGACCACGGACCCCAGCAACCTTACACGGGCAGCCCGAATGAGTGTAGATGGGTCGGGCCGTCGGAGTCTAGCAAGAACCAATGCGTCTAGGACGTGTAGCAGAATTACGAGGAGGAGGACGGAGGAGGAGAAGGAGGAGGAGGAGGAGGAGGAGGAGGAGGAGGAGGGAGGAGGGAGGAGGAGGAGGAGGAGGAGGAGGAGGAGGAGGAGGGAGGAGGAGGAGGAGGAGGAGGAGGAGGGAGGAGGAGGAGGGAGGAGGAGGAGGAGGAGGAGGAGGGAGGAGGAGGGAGGAGGAGGAGGAGGAGGGGCGGCGGATCGGGGGGCGCTGCCGCACGGCCCGCGCGTTCAGGTGGGAGTGCTGCGGGAAGGCCACGTCGAGGTAGGAGTGCAGGAAGAGGAAGAAGGCGCCCTCGGCCGCCCCGATGTCCTTGCGCGAGCGAGGAAGAGAGCCCTCATCCTCCTCCTCCTCCTCCTCCTCCTCCTCCTCCTCCTCCTCCTCCTCCTCCTCCTCCTCCTCCTCCTCCTCCTCCTCCTCCTCCTCCTCCTCCTCCTCCTCCTCCTCCTCCTCCTCCCTCCGTCTCCTCTGGCTCTTCGGTATGATGATGGCTGTTGCGGCTGTGGCTGCTGCTGCGCTTCGCCGCCTTGTGGCAGGCAGAGATCCAGGAAGCTACCCGCAGCTGCGCGCGATAGGGAAGGACCGAAGCATGGATACTCAGAGGGACCAAAGACAACACAACGACAGCGGGGAGCGGCGGAAAGGAAGAAGACACAGAAGGCACCCTCGGCCGCCCTGATGCCATCAAATCCCACCAGCCCTCTGGGCGCAGGTGGTCTAGCGCGGTTCCTCTTCCAGCCCTGTCTCCTCTTCGGGGAGGGGTTTACCCCTCCCCCTTACCCCCTCCCCTGGACCTGGAGGGGTGGGATCGCGGGTCATTGGAGCGTCCAAGGTGGCCCAAGATGGCTCTAGGAGGGCCTTAGAGAGCCAAAACTGACTTCCAAGATGACCCGAGATGGCTCAATATGGCTCCCAAGATGCGCAAAGAGGCCCAAAGACCGCTCCATGACGGCTCCGAGTGGCCACGGAGCCTCACCAAGAGGCCGCCAAGAGGCCAACATCCTTCAAACACCACAGGAAAATCAATGAATTGTGTCTTCTCGCCTGTTCGCTTCCGATGGCATTCCGATGCCTCAAGACAGCTCCAAGAGGGCCCATGAGAACCCCAAGGGAGGCCCAAGAGAGCCCCAAGGCGGCCAGAAAAGCTCCCAAGAGCGCTCCAGGAGCGCCCCAAGAGAGGCTCAAAGGCAATGCTTGGGGCTCCCGAGGGGGGGGGGGGGCGTAATTAGAGCTCCCATATGTGCTGATCGATCTCCTCCAAGATGGCCCCAAGAGCCCTCCCAAGGCTCACAAGAGCGCATCAAGAGGGCCCCTAGAGGCGCCCAGAAGGCCCCAAGAGGCGCCCAAGACGGCCCCACGAGCGCCCAAGAGTGTCCCAAGAGCGCTCCAAGAGGGACCATTCCTCTGTGTGCTGTCCATTTCCCTGATCGAGGCAACTCCTCTGGGCATCATCTCTGGATGGGCCGGTGGGGTTTCGCGAAACGTCAGTACTGTAGCATGGCTTCTTCTCAGGATCAAGGCGAATACGTCAGGCTGCGACGCGAGCCGCTCATGGCGGCCCTCGCGCCCAGCTGCTTGAGCCACACGGGAGCCGCATCGAGTTTCGTGTGCCCCCCTCTTGACGTGGTTCCCTTGATCCCAGACAAATGCGAATGCGCAGGAAGAGAAGAAATCACCCTCGGCCGCCCCGATGCCCTTGCGCGAGGGAGGAACGGAATCAGCATCTTACCGCTCATGTCGTGGTGTTCCTCCTCCTCCTCTTCCTCCTCCGCATCCTCCTCCTCCTCCTCATCCTCCTCTTCCTCATCCTCTTTCTCATCATCAGCATCAATATCATCATCATCATCATCATCAGCATCGTCGTCGTCGTCGCCGCCGCCGCTGCCGCCGACGGCATCGGCATCGTCATCGTCATCGTCACTATCAGCATCCGCATCATAATAATCCTCAGCAGCATCAGCATCATCAACAGCATCATCATCAGCATCATCAGCGTCAGCATCATCATCATCATCATCATCATCTGCAGCATCGTAATCAGCGTCAACATCAGCATCATCGTCATCATCTGCATCAGCATCATCATCATCATCATCATCATCATCACCAGTATCATCACCATCAGCATCAGCATCATCATCATAAGAAGCACCCTCATCATCCTAATCAACATCATCATCAGCATCAACATCAGCAGCAGCAGCATCGGCGTCAGCAGAAGCATAATCATCCTTAGCATCATCATCATCATCATCATCATCATCATCAGCATCATCATCATCAGCCACCGAATCATCATCATCATCACCATCAGCATCAGCATCAGCATCAGAATAATCATCAGCAGCATCAGCATCATCATCATCATCAGCATCATCAGCAACATCATCAGCATCATCATCTGCATCAACATAAACAGCGTCAACATCAGCATCATCGTCAGCATCTGTATCAGCATCATCAGCATCAGTATCATCACCATCAGCTTCGGCATCATCATAAGCAGCGTCCTCATCATCCTAATCAACAGCATCAGCACCAGCATCATCATCAGCATCAGCAGCAGCATCGCCATCAGCAGCAGCACAATCAGCATCATCAGCAGCAGAGTCAGCATCATCCTTCGCCGCATCATCATCATCATCATCATCATCAGCAGCATCAGCATCATCATCATCATCATCATCATCATCAGCAGCAGCAGCAGCATCATCACCATCATCATCATCATCATCATCATCATCATCATCATCATCATCATCATCATCGTCATCATCAGCATCACCACCATCATCGTCATCATCATCATCAGCATCATCATCATCGCCATCATCATCACCATCATCATCAGCATCAGCAGCAGCAGTATCATCAGCAGCATCAGCATCAGCATCATCATCATCATCGTCGTCAGCATCCGCATCAGCATCATCATCATCATCAGCAGCATCATCATTAGCATCATCATCATCATCAACATCCTCATCATCATCATCATCATCGTCATCATCATCATCATCATCATCATCAGTACCGTCATCATCGTCAGCATCAGCAGCAGCATCAGCATCATCATTATCATCATCAGTATCAATAACCTGTCCTTATAACTAGCTCCCCCCGTCGCACCCAATGACGGGTCGGTATAGCGGGTCGGGCGCTTCGCCTGAGACTTCCCCACAATGCATGTTCCTGAAGCTTGATAGCTGCTACAGTTCCAAAGGCGGACAGGAGGGGGGGCGCGGTTCCCAGCATGTGGCTATCGCTTCAGCTTGGCGGCGCGCCGAGGGTGGAAGTGAGAGAGCGCCCGCCTCCTCAGAAGGCGGCGAGGCTTATCGGGAGCACCCCCGCCTTCTGAGATGGAATGGGGGAGGGGAGGAGGAGGAGGAGGAGGAGGAGGAGGAGGAGGAGGAGGAGGAGGACGACGAGGACGAGGAGGATGTTGAAGAGGGGAGGAGGAGGAGGAGGAGGAGGAGGAGGAGGAGGAGGAAGTCTTATGAGCCCCCTCCGAATACACAGGCATCTTCTCAGAAGGCGCGAGGGCTTCTGATAAGCCCCGCCGCCTCCCGAGAGGGGCGTTCCTTCTCGCGTCCACCCCATCGCTCCACACCGAACTTGGTTTTAGTGGCATAGCTCGGGTCCCTGGTGGCCACTCGGGGCGATCGGCCCTCTGAAAAGGTCTGCCCCGCTCGCCCCTCCCCCCCCCCCCCCGCGGGCTCGCCGCCGATCAGCGCCGCGCACACTCGTCGTAAAAATTCCCAGCCGTTCCAGGGGTTGAGGGTGGGGGTCGAACTGTGGCTCCTGCCTCAGCGCCGCGCACACTCGTTTGAAAAATTCGCATACTCTTCGAGGGTGGATGGGGGTCGTTTTCAACATGAAGCTATCGCCTTAGCGCCGCGCACATTCGTCTTAAAACTTGCAGCAGATTCGAGGATGGGGGGACGGCTCAGTTTGAAAATGTGGCTCTCTCCTTGGCGCCGCGCACGTTCGTCGTAAACGTTTGCATCAGTTTCAAACATGGACGGTGGTTCCTCTTTTATTGGGCTATCGCCTTAACGCCGCGCACGCTCGTGGTAAAAAGCCACGTCGTCGTCCTTATCCTTATCCTTATCCTTATCCTCATCCTTACCCTTATCCTTATCCTTATCCTGATCCTGATCCTTCCTCAGCTCATCCTCTCTCTTTTCTTCCCCCGACGGTTCCCCCAAGGGCTTCCACAACGGATCGGGGAACCCGTAGTCCAATAGCTTTGCAGGCCTTCGGCCCAACGTTTGACCACATAGACGTTTCCAAAATATAGGGGCGGCTGTGGTTCGCCGTGGTTGTTTCCCATCTAGATTTGAGCCTGACTCTGCCTGCAACTGCCCGGGGCCGCAGCGATGCAGCGATCGAACGTCCATGTGGCGCATTCTCCATGCAGTATGCCGTGCCCATCGCTGGAGGAACAAAAAACTGCAGAAGCATAAATTGTCGGAGCTCCGCGCGGACTTCTTGCATCGGCTCCAGACCTCCCCTGGCGGCGCCAACAGCGCCGCCCCGAACGCGCTCCGCGCCCAAGGGAGGGGATTCAGCACCAGAGGCGCCCGACCTCCGGGGTCTCTCCTGGGGCGCGTTCTGACCAGACTTTCTGGGCAAAGGCAGCCGTGGCGACGAGGGCCTCCCAGAAGGGCCAACAAGGCGAAAACGAGGGAAGAGCAGCGGTACTGGCACCTTTTCCCCATCTGCCCTTCGCTCTGCACTACCCAGCTGTGGCCCCTTGCTCACCAAAAGATGGCACGGCCGCACTCGCTCCAGATGTTCGGCATCAAGCCACTCCTGGCAGACGGGCGCAAAGGCGGCCGCCACGGCCGCAGCCGCGGATCCGGCCAAGCACATCCCCCTTCTCCTCGTCCTCCTCCCTGCCTCCCTCCCTCCCTCCCTCCCTCCCCTCCCTCCCTCCCTCCCCCCCCCTCTTCCTTCTCCTCCTCCTCCTCCTCCTCCTCCTCCTCCTCCTCCTCCTCCTCCTCCTCCTCCTACTCCGACTCCTCATCCTCATCCTCCTCCTCCCCTCCTCGCTCCTCCTCCTCCTCCTCCTCCTCCTCCTCCTACTCCTACTCCTACTCCTACTCCTACTCCTACTCCTACTCCTACTCCTACTCCTACTCCGACTCCTCATCCTGATACACGTTCTCCTCGTCCTCCTCCTCCTCCTCCTCCTCCTCCTCCTCTCCTTCTCATCATCATCCTCCTCATCTTGTTCCTCCTCCTCCTCCTACTCCTCCTCCTCCTCCTCCTCCTCCTCCTCCTCCTCCTCCTCCTCCTCCCCCTCATCATCATCATCATCATCATCATCATCATCATCATCATCATCAGCAGCAGCAGCAGCAGCAGCAGCAGCATCAGCATCAGCATCAGCGTCATTCTATTCATCAGCATCATCATCATCATCATCAGCATCATCATCATCAGCATCATTATCAACATCATCATCAGCTGCAGCATCAGCATCAGCATCAGCAGCATTATTATCAGAATCATCATCATCATCATTATCATCATCATTGTCATCGTCACCAACATCATCATCCTCATCCGCATCCTCATCCTCATCATGATCCTCATCATCCTCATCATCATCATCATCATCATCAGCATCATCATCAGCAGCAGCATCATCATCGTCCTCATCCGCATCATCATCATCATCATTATCAGCAGCATCCTCATCATCTTCGACAGCAGCATCCTCAGAATCTTCATGTCCAGCATCACCATCATCAGCATCATCAGCAGCAGCACCATCATCATCGTCGCCATCGTCATCATCATGATCATCATAATCATCATCAAAATCATCAGCAGCGACAGCATCAAAGTCAGCAGAGGTATCATCAGTATTATCATCATAATCAGTATCATAAGCAGCATCAGCATCAGCAGCATCATCAGTTTCATGTACATCATCGTCATCATCATCAGCAGCAGCTGCCACACAAGCATCATAATCATAGTCATCATCAGCATCATCATCATCATCATCATCAACAGATCATGATCATCGCCGTCGTCATCACATAATCACCATCAGCATCATCATCAGTATCATCATTATCATCGTCATGATCATTGGCATCATCATCAGCATCATCATCGTCATAATCATCATCATCACCATCCTCATCCTCAGCATCATCCTCATCATCATCATCATCGTCATCATGTTCATCCTTGTCATCATCCTCCTCATCCTCGTCATACTCATCATCAGCAGCAGCAGCAGCAGCAGCTGCATCAGCATCATCAATAATCATCTGCATCATCAGAATCATCCTCATCCTCATCCTCGCTCATCCTCTTCATGCTCAGCATCATCAGCAGCATCGTCACCATCCGAATCATCATCATCAGCATCATCACGTTCATGTTCATCTTCAGAATCATCACCACCATTGTTGACATCAGCAGCAGCATCATTATAATCGTCAGCATCAGCATCGTGGTCGTCATCATCGGCATCATAAGCATTATCATCAGCAGCATCATCATCATCGGCATCAACAGGAGCAGCAGCAGCATCATCATCGGCGTCGTCAGCATCATCATCGTTATCGTCGTCGTCGTGATCATCGTCATCGTCATCGTCAGCAGCATCAGCTTCATTGTCACGTTATTTTTCGTCATCTTCACCACCACCACTGCCAGCCCATCATCATCAGCATCATCACCACCATCATCACCTCCACCACCACCACCATCACCACGATCATCACTCGCCTTCTCGTGTCCGGCTTGAAGCCAACCCGCACACGCGGCCTCACCCCTGGGGGGGGGCGCTACCGCGGAGCGACCGCGCGCCACGTTTTGTTGTTTCATCCTGCGGTGGCCGCGACGTCGCCAGCCCCCGCCCGCTCTCCGTCTTGCCGGCGGCAGGACAGTGGCGCAGTTCCCCAGACGCAAAGGCAGGATCGGTCAGCATCGGGTCGGGAACTCCTCCCACTCAACTCTTGCATCACCCTCCTCCTTCTCCTCCAAACTCCTCCAGCTCCGACTCCTGCGATTACCCCATGTCCTCCTCCTCCAACTCCTCCTCATCCTCCTCCGCCTCCGCCTACTCCTCCGCCTACGCCTCCTCCACCTCCGCCTACGCCTCCTCCTCAGCAGGACCAGGCAGCATTGAATCGGGAATCCAGACCGAATCGAGAGAGCGTGCGTGCCTTTTTGCCAGATGATCCAGGATACTCCCCGATGGCCCTCGCCGAGACAAAATGCACACGTCCGAGTGATGCCACGAAAGTCGGATTCGAGTCGGATCGCGCCAGCCAAAATCGATGGCGGATCGGATCGATCGGATCGGAGCGTGGACCGCTGCAGGCCCCTGAGCGCCGCCCGTCGGCAAAAGGCGCGAGAGAACTCGTGACGGGGGTGCAGGGGAGGGGGGGGAGGGGGGGCCTGTGTTGGGGCGCGTTCCCACCGCTCGGAAGAAGTGGGTAGAAAAATAATGTGGGAGGGCTACGAGGCAACTCCCCGTGAGGGCTGCGCCAGAACGATTAAGGACTATCATAAACCAGATCGGGAGCGAAGTCATGGGGGGGGGGCGGAAAATGAGGGGGAAGAAAGGTGCCCTCTTCAGGCCCTGGAGACCCCCTCTTGGGCCCTACAGGGCCCCTTTCTACAGCCCTCGCTGCCCCCCATGTATCGCCCCCCATTACGCGTCCTTCGAAGGAAGGCCATGAGGCAACTCCCGGGAGGTCTTCGGCGGAGATTCTGCAATCGATCCCGCACTCGACCTCTAGGGGTTTCGATGGAGCTCGCCCCATCGACAATGAGTGAGCGGTTGGGGGTCGATGCATCCCCCCTGCACCCATTCCCCCCTATCAACGCCCCTGAGAAGATCAGTTGTCCCTGCAGAGCCTGGGTCTCCAGCGGTCGGGACGATCTGGGCACCCCAGGAACGCCCTCGGCGAGGCGCACCTGCTGGAGAGCATCCCGAGGCTGGATAACCGCCGAGAACAAACGAAAACGTGCGAAAGCCTCACCCCTCAGATCCGACGTTGCGAAAAAATGCAACATGGCCAAAAATCACGACCAGAGCCCTGGACCCAGACGTGTTGCTGCATCTTTCTGACCGGATCGATCTGTGAGCCCAGGGGCCCAGAGCTGGGCGCACAACACCTCCCTGGACCTGTGTCCCTGAGCAGCAGTGGCGACGTGAAATGTGGCACGGTGTGCCAAGGCCAACTCAAACTTGGGGCATGCCGACGTGATATATATATATATATATACATATATATATATAAATATGTATATACATCGCTCGTAAACAGAACGCTCCACCACGACGACACGTGATATATATATATATATATGCAGATATATATATATATATATGCATATATGTATATACGTACATGCATATATGTACAAATATGTATATATGTGTGTATCTCGGCTACACGCAAGTGTGGCCCTGAGAAAAAGTGGCCTAGGGCGCTCTGCAGTTTGGGGGCCGCGGGGGGAGGCCAAACACGGGCGCGCGAGACGATACTACCGCATCGCGATCGGCGACCGGGGGGCCCCAGTGGGCCCGCACCGAAGGTCACTCCGGCGAAAGGTCACTCTTACGTGTAGTCGGGTACATGGCATCCGAATGGTCGATGCCGTACCAGGCCGGGCGTCGGAGCAGGGGTCGGAGCAGGCGTCCTAGGAGTATGGGGCGGATCGCAAAACATGAGGCGAGGGCGTAGGAGAGACACGAACAGCACCAGCATGGTAGGCCGCATCGGAAAATGCGCACCCCCTTTCTGACGGTGCCCCCGACCTAGAGGACGAAGACCCTGTGTATAGGCAGAGGGATTTCGTCACGTGATGCGTAGTTCCCTGCCCCCCACCTGATCCTCCTCCTCCTCCTCCTCCTCCTCCTCCTCCTCCTTTCTGTCCTTTTCCTCCTCCTCCTCCTTCTCCTCCTCCTCCTCTTCCTCCTCCTCCTCGTCCTCCTCCTCCTCCTCCTCGTCATCTTCCTCTTCCTCCCCCTCCTACTCCTAGTCGTCTTCAGATTCGCATCGCGTGACGGATCCAAATCTCCAGGTGTAAACATAAGTTGCTGGATCCGCGCTGGACACCCCTCCCTGGCCCGAGGATCGCGCAAGGGGCGGCGCTGGAAGCGCCGACAGGGGGGCCCAGCGCAAATCCAAGAAATCCACGCGGAGCTCCAGACGTTCATGTTTATGTTGTGTTGTTCTCCTTTGGGCGCTTTACCCAGACATTCGCCGATATGTCGTTTCAACCCGCAGCCCCAAAGGTCCCGATCCCCCTCCCCCCGGTGTGGTTTTTCGTCCAAGATCCATGTCTGGTGGCCCCCAGGCCTGACAACTAGAGGTTTCGGGGTCCAGGAAGATAGGGATCGGAGGATTGAACCGCATCGGTGACGCATCGGCGATGCATCGGCAACGTCGGTGATGCATCGGCGACGCCGGCGCGGAGGCAAACGGGCTCAACATCGAGCCGCATCGCCGATGCATCAACGATGCCACGCGATCCTCCGACCCCATCTACTCGGACCCTATCTAGGAGGCCTACTCTGGATGGGGCAATAATCGCCCCCCCCTTGGATCCGCTAGGGGGGTTGGGCACGCGCTGTCGGAACGGGTGGAGGTGGGGTTGGAGGAGGAGGAAAGGAGTCATGGAGTCATGGGTCCAGGCAGCGCACGGCGCACACCGCACGCAGGCGGGCCGAAATGGCAGGCAACCAGCACCCCCAGCCTCCCCCTTACGGGATCGAGCGGGTCCGAAGGCGCGCGCCCCGACGAGCAGGGAATAGGCAGCTACCTCGTCGCCCA